AAATTGAATAGATTCATTATTGAAACATTGCTAAAAATAAATTAGACATATATTTATTGTAAAATCAAACTCATTCAGTTTACAAAAGATCTTATCAATCAGCCACATTTTTCTTGTAATTTGAGCTCATTCAGTATAAAATATTATCAGTTATCACAATACTGAAGTGAAGAAAACACAAAAGGAATATTTCTTATAACCTTGCCACTTCAATGATTTCAAATCCATCAATAAAGCACTAAATTATACATATACCATGGAATGCACTGCAAATTCTGTAAAAAGTTCATAGTTCTATAATAATAAAACATGACAGTCTGCTTAGGAAAGAGAAAACCAGCTGTGACAGTGACACCAACAACACTAGATCTTTTTCTTCCTTGGTTTTTCAACATCCTCACTGTTTCGTTTTCTCTTGTTAGCTCCCCTCTTTGACCATATTGCTTTTTTAATGTTTTTAGCAATTGTGTGCACTGATTGTTTTGATCCATGTTTAGAATGAGCTGGATTTGGCAGTGCTTTTTCTTCTTTCCTCGTACACGCCAGCAAGCATTGCGAGACTACAAAATGGCGGCGCCCTGTCTCCGAATGTAAACAAACCGCGCGATTGCATAAACGCTTATCTGTGGCATGGAACACCAAAATCCGATAAATAATTTTAAAAAAATGTGTTTCTCCGGAAGAAAACTGGAGCTTTTCAGGATTTTTTAGAAATATCCGGATTTCCGGATATATCCGGAAGACTTTCATTATTATAGAATGAAAAGCCCTGTGTTTTGAATAATATATTATAAAAAAGACACAATTACTTTACAAACAGATCACAATTATGCACTTCCCAGACAGAAAAAAAAGTTGAAAGTGATAATTTCAATAAAGATTACTGAACATACTTCATTCTTAAAAGTAACACCATTATTTTTGAAAAAAATAACAAAAAGCAGTAAGTGGAAAAATAGCTTTGAATTTTTCTAAATATCCAAAATTACATTAAACCTCTTAAACTTACATATAGAAATACTTACTTGTTTATCCTACGTTTTGCAAAATGTTCTTTCAAAGAAGCATTTTTTTAACTTGTACAATGAAAACTAAAGACACGATAGATTGGTTAGATAGTTCCATAACAGAAGTGAAACACTCAATTATTTAAATTTTAGTTACCTGCATACAAGCTCTCCATCCATAGCATCATGTTCATCAGCACTGTTGAAAGAGACCCGTCCACCTATTGCTGCACCAATTATGTATACAAGCCAAGTTAGACGGCCTGTATCAAAACAACAGGTTAGTATCAACTATAGAAACCACCACATGTATAATTAACTAATAATACACTCATATACTTTAGCTACATAACACCATAACACTAAAAATGACATCAGTCTGTTGAAATCATTCAGTAATGAAATAAAAGAGCTTTTTTGATTGCTAAGGCCTTCAGATCTAATACTTGAAAAGAAGTAAAGTCAACAGCTTTATTAAGTTCAAGAAAGTTTTAAAATGTTTTATGGTAATACTGAATAAGAAATTTAGTATTTTAGTAACTTAACAAGCTTTACATCTTTGCTTCACAGGTACAAAAGTTTGAACAAATATAATATTGACAAGATTAGCCTACATTATACAAGGAATTAACATTGTCTTAATGAATTACACCCTGATCATGTCAGCTCAAAGGCAATAAATCAATGAAATTATACAATATTCAATTTCTTATGCATGCATATAGTATAAATATTTATATTACGTACATAATATAATATGGGAATGCATGATGTACATTACATTATCAACACTAAGCTTCCTATCTCACATAATTCTAGTTAAGTAAACAGTTTGGAATATTTCACAGCATTAATGTATACTGAAAAGCTCATGTCATAAAGAACTGATTATGTCCTACTTCAGTTAATATTTTCGTATGTATCTGGATGAATTATTTCTAAGCAAAGAATTGGAATCTCTGTGATGACTGAACAATTTTAACAAGTAATTAAGTCAAAGCTGAGCTCACTTAATTGTATCCTCACCTATGGTTTTACAACTTTAAGTACAAAGAACTGACATCAACTTTATGGAAATGAAACAAGAATCAGAGGTAAATTAGGTTTTGTTTTTCTCCTTTTGCCTCTTGAGATTATTTCCTTTTAATAATGTTTTCTAACACGAAATAACAGATAATTATTCTGACACACGTCAGAAAATCGTCAATGAATACATACAGATTAACTTTTTCGTGTTCTTTCCACATTTAGTTCTATTCCAATGACTAAAAACTATACTGCTTTCAACTCCTCACCTTCTTGGATTTCTATGTCTATCCTATTGTTCGGAGTTTGGGCCTGCATACGTTCTTGGTATGCCTGTGCTGCTTGATCAAAAGTTTGGACAAGAAGTGTACAAGTTTTTTCATATTCACATCTTCCTATAGTTGCTAGCTGTAGATATATATATATATATATGTAATAATAAATAATTAGTTAGCTTAAACAGTTTATCTTCAATTTTAAAACTCTTACATAAACTGAAGAAAACATTTCCATACTTTTAATATTTCAATATTAGGTAACATTTAATGGACAGTAAATTTTTCTTTTTACATGCTCCTTAGTTTTTACTTGTGTTTCAATTTTTGTCAAAAGAGGTACATGCAAGTCAAAACAATAAAGGAGCAAAAAAGCTTAAATTTTGTTTCATGATAGCAATATAAATTATTTTAGACCTGCATAGCAAAAATGTAAAATGTTTTAAACATATATTGCTTAAAAATATTTCACATTCTTAGCTTAAGTCAATAATCATATTCTTAAAAAAAATACACTATATTTTAACATAGAATGCTAATATTTACAAGAATTGCTACTATACTTTTAAAAAGATAGCCTACAAAATTTGAAGTTTAATAAACCTACACTGTTTTGAATTCTACTCAAATTCTTCACATATTATAACTTTTACATAAAATACACATCAATTTTCATAGTAACCAAATAATCTACCTTTTAAATATTGGTTACAAAGACATGAGCTTTAAAATGCGTAGAAATTTGGTTATTCAGATCTGTGTACAGTAACTTGTTTTTATTACACTTAATTATTAGACAAGTTTTTAAATCAAGTATTATGGTCAATAAGTTTGAAAAAAAAAGAACTGAGGGGATTAAACGTTTTATAATTATTATCAAATTGAAAAACAGAAAAATAAAAAAAATATGCTTTAGATTGAGAATAACTTGAAAAATTGCTAAAAATGTCATGAAGTTAAAGAAATTCACATTATGAATTGTATATAAAATGCTCCAAACCTCTAAAAAACGTTTGTTTAGAATGTGAATTTTGATACAATCTAGTGAAGAAATACAAAGTTGACCAAACTGCTCCAAAAGTGTTTAAAGCAAGTTTAGTTTGTGATTTTTACCAGATAAACCATGAATACATCAATAAAACAAAACAATGGAAACTTTTTTCTTTACTTTTATATCAAATACTGGTTTCATAAGAGTAGTGGATTAATGGCTAGTGAACAGAGAAAAGTCCTTGCATGGAGATACGATGGAAAGGAGATTATAAAAATTATTTAATGGAGATGACAAACAATTTCAGAAAAAAAATATATTTAATTACTTGTACTCAAAGTTTTGATTACGCCTTTATCAAGGGTCTATGAATGTCACAGGTTACCAAACTGTTCATAGACCCTTGATAAAGGCGTAAGCCAAAACGTCAGGTACAAGAAATTAAACATTTTTTCTGAAGTTGTTTGCTGTCTTTACTAAATAATGGTTTCTATCCTTCAGTCAGCACTGAAAATTATAAAAAAATAGTAATAAGATCAGGGCAATTTCAGGATAATTTTAGGACAATGAAAAAATAAGCATGTAAAACTGTGTAATGAAAGAATTATGAAAAAATAAGTTCAAGTCAAATTCAAACTTCATTAATTATGTACTTACTTGAACTTGCACACTAATTAAACAATGTTAAACAATTGTATACTCTAAAAAAACATCATCATCTATCATTACAACCAAATAATTTTATCACTAATTGTTATGAGAATGATATATTATCCATTACTAATCATCAAAGCAGTGTTACAATTTAATTTTAGAACTTTATTTTTTTAACAGATTAAAGAATATGTTTTATGTGAGATATATCTACCATTGATGTTACGGAGTGTTCTCAGATATCATAAAGCAATTACACAACTTCATTTTTATTTATTTTTTGACATATCCCACCTGATCTAGTTGTTGCTGTATCATCCCTGTATCACCAAGTGGATCTTCCAATCCATCCCTACAGAGAAAATGACAGCATTCATAGTTTGATTTTCAATTACAAAGTTGTTTTAGAACATATAAGAAAGGCACACAGCAACAGTCATAAAGCCTTAAAACAAAAATAGCTCTGTCACATATACATTTCTGTAAACCTAAAATGTGCAAATTGCAAGATACAACTTCCTTGAATCAGCACACAGGAGATATACGAGTTGACTGTGAACAGGAAAAGGTTGAATTTATAAATGAGTTAGTCATTTAAATTAGTGAGAAGAGCAGTAATAAGTTTCAGGTGCTCCAACCAATAAAGCTACTAAACTCTGATGTTGAACACTTTGCTTGATAGGTTAGTCAATTATAGCAGGCATTTAGGAATAAGTCATGGTTTTAAATTCAAACCACTACCCATTTTAACTTCTTCACAAATTATACAGTAAAACAATATGCCATTATCAAAATCTCTTTTACAGTAATAAGTTGACTCCTGAACTCAAATACACATCATCATTATATCACCACAGATTAGCATATCTCAGAATTACCAGCAAATTAAACTAAAAATCAATTTTCCTGTAATGGAATGTAACATCAAATTACCTTACAACAGCTGTTACACACTCCAACCGAGAGGTAATGTAAGCATGAGTGACTTCAGGTGTGTATGTCTCCAACAGGTGTGGCTCAGAAGCCTTGACATATGGAACAGAAGCTACCATTCGTTGCCATAAGCTCAGCAAGTAGTGGACACTATTTGGAGCATACTGCCACATCTAGCATTTGTCATGGGGAAAAAAAACAGACCGGGAACTAAATATAATTGACTAGTAAAAAAAACCAATCTTAACAAAAGTTGTATAAGGTGACAAATAGTACACACTTTAAGACTGTTAACTCTCTGTATACAGGCTCGATCATTTTGACCAACCTTGTAACCACTATGTATCCAAGAAACTATACATACTATAACTCTGAATGTACTAAGTGTATCTGCACAAAATTTGGCAATCTTTTAGCTAACATTACAAATCTGTTGTACACAAAAAATATTTTATTACTTAATAATATATTTTAATAAAACTTTGTCTTTGAATTTATGAAGCCTTTACTGAGTCAGTATAAGTGATAGTGATTTTCATGCTAAGAATAACAATAGTTCTTTTTATCTTTAAGTTTTCGTATTTCATTTGCAAACCTTTAGTAGAAAAACTTTGTTAAAGAATATGATTATTTTTGTGTACGACTGATTTGTGACATTTAATAAAAGCTTGCCAAATTTCATAAAAATACACTTAGTGCATTCAAAATTATAATATGAATAGTTTTGTGATTACATGGTGGTTACAAGGTCAGTCAAAATGTTTAGCCCGATTTCAAAGAGTTAAAGGATTATAAAATTGCAATTCCTTCACCTGAGACATAAATGTAAATTTTAAGTTTTTCTGACAACAATACTTACCTGAAGACTTGTGACAGTAAATGTAGCAATAAGGGCTATAGTTTCTCTGTAGTTTTCTGCCTTGACTAGTTCACCCAGTTGATAGTTTGACTTCAGTCTGGCCAACAGCCTACAAAACTCATGGTAGTTTCCAGGATCTGACAAGCCCTGTCAAAAGCAAGCAAGTATTGAATAAATTAAATAAATTCCTTTTAGACAATAAGAAAACTAGTTTTTATAATGTAGTGTTAGTTTTCTTAAGTATTTTTGTATTTGTTTGGGTAATAATATTAATACTACTGAGTTATCATAACAAGATAACTCAAGAGTATTCTAAGAACAGGTTTTATACCTGAGGATTTTCCAAAATGTTCTTGACACCACTGACAAGCTGTGATAGAAACTTAGCTCTCTCGGCATTGTTGAACAATGATCTTCGAACTGAAGCAATCTGTACCAAACAAGACAGTGCCTAAAGGAGAAAAGTGACTATGATAATTAATTTTTCATTAAACAAATCACATCAATCATATTTTTGTCAATGAAAAACACAGTCTTTCAGAAATATGCAGATAGAACAAAAAAAACAACAACAAACAAATGATTACTTCCTGCACATGATAAGAAATTCAGAATAAAATGGATAAGATACACTCAGAAGAACAGTTTTTCAATTTAACTTTTCACAAAATTGTAAAAATTATGATAAAGTAAATTTTATGTTAGGAATTTCGTGTTTAAAGGCCCAATTTTAGAGATTCAGAGATGCATAGTTTTGAAACTATAAAAATTTGGTCATGTGAGCTACATGGTTTTGTGATGTGACAAATGTACCATTTTTAATTTGAAGATGCATGTGTAGCTTTAATAGAATGTGGAGTAACAGAGATTAAAGCTTATCAACACTTTTATATGAAAAATAAATTTATTACACACTTAACAAAGTTTACATGAATTTTCAACCTCGTTGATAAAATAAGTAACACTTAACTGATGAAAGCATCATCACCAATACTGTAAAAGTCTAAATTCCAGGAAGACAAAGCCCAAAGAACATTATGCAATTAAAGTTTGTAAAAAAATAACTTTTTTTTTTCTCAACTGAGGTGTGCAAACTAAGCACCTACTTACTATGTGTGACAGGAGAGTTGGTAGGGAATGGTACAGGTCAAAGAACAACTGTAGTGTGTTAAAATCCAGGAAAGCAGGTCTCCAACTGGTTGGAATTTGCACTGTACAAAGATCATCTGATGATTCATCAGGTGAGGTTCCAATAAAGTCAAATGAAAGACAATTGAAAGCCAACTGCAACAGCTGATTCATCAGTGCATGCTAATAACAGAAATATTAAACTATCATATACATACACACACACACAAACACAAATATATATATTATTCATTACTAACATATACATGAATGTTACCAGTCAAGAAATAAAGGTTACTATTAATTTAAGTGTTTTGAAAAAACTTTACCGAGTTGAACTGTTTATCACAATTGAGAATGCTCTGCAAGAACAGTTTAACTGAAATGTTTACATTCTTTTATCTTGGACTCACTAATAACTTGAAATCTGTAAAGAAATTTAAATTATTATCTCATGAAAGTGTAACCTTCATGGATCTTATGCTGAAATGTTTCATGCAACATTTATAACACGTTTTTGCACAAAGTTTCTTAATCCACAACTTAGTGTTAAAGCATTCAGTATTTCCAATTACCACACTAATATTCTGCCATTGTTGCATATTTGCATTTTTCATGAAATATTTAGTAACACATGAACAGCACACTATCATTTCGCAAAGCTTCAATTATCCAAGACTTTATTTGAAACTTTGAAACAAATTAAGTACATTTTATTTTAAGAAGATAAGCTAAGAGAGGCAACTACGAGAAGTTAAACAATGGAGATCAAATCCAACTGAAACATACATAGGTGGAGCTGCAGCTCAAATCAAATGTTTTACTTACACAGAGAAACTGATGAGGATGACATTCTAATAAAATCAATAGCCCCTTGAAACTACAATAACAAAACACTTAAACACTGAGGAAGAAACTGAAATCTTAAGATAAGGCCTCCAGGAGATATGAGAAACTGAATTAGATAAGGTATTATTTGGGTCCTTTCACAATCCATGCTATATCTAGTGTCTACTATGTGGCCAAGATCCACTATGAGAAGGATCTAGAATTAGTTATTGAAAAAAATGATTGAAATCTATGTTTACATGACAAAGTTAGGAAGCCACCAAATTGATAATCTTGGTGAAAAGATACATAATGAACACCAGAACTGAGAAGGATTATATATGGTGGTATAAGCCAAGATTTAAACCTAGGATTTAATGTACGTGTCATATCTGCTGTATGAGCATGGATGAGTGGATATCACCCTTGCTTTTCCAACAAGATGACTCAGGATTGAATTTTGGTTCCTACCAACATGTATGGAACTATAGTATATAACAGTAATAATAATAATAATAAAACTAATTAGTAACTGAGACTTAGATGACAGTATAAGTTATTAGCCATTACAACAAAAATATATTTAACTTGTAGTAAATGTAAAATGTGTTTACAGATTTTTTTGTTTGTTTTATTCAACCTTTTGTAGAAGGATTTTCCTGTGTTGAAAATCAACAAAGTGATTGATGTGAGAGTAATTTATATTTCATATCAATAAAGATAATCAGACTAAAAGTTTGATGTACGCTTACTTGTGACTCATCCTTAAATGTCGTTGACTTCCATGTTTCCAAAGCTCGTCTCAACAGATCACAGGCTAATTGGAATATTTCATAAAGCTGACTATCTCGAAAAGATGAAGCAATTTTACGCTGTTTAGTTAAAGATCTATTAGCCTCTGCCTATTGAATGAAAAACATAAATCATAAAAATTATTTTGATAACTAAATACAGAATGGAGCTTCATCAAGTGAAACTATTTAAAACAATATATATAGGTTAAGAAAAACTTTGGAAAGAAGGGTAGCTATTTCTTATATATATATATATATATATATATAT